TTGCTTGCAGATTGTATTCGTTGCAGCTTTGCTGCTGGCATCTGCTCAGGCGCAGAGCCAGTCGGCGCAGGCGCAGGATCAGGAACAGGTGGCGGCAACGCCGACGGCGGACCAGGTGAGCGCCGCCAGCAGCTATGCGCCGCTGCAGGAGAAGAAGCAGGACAAGCGCTATGTCGGTGGATACGGTGGTTACGGTGGTTATGGTAGTTATGGTGGCTACGGCGGATATGGCGGCTACGGTGCTACCGCTGGCTATGGCAACAGCGCCTACGGCGGCTACGGCAACGGCTATGGAGCCTACGGCTCCACGCTGGGTGCTGGCTACGGCTACGGCAGCGGTGTGGACAGCTATTACAATCCATATGGATCGCGCGGCTTGGCTGGTTTAGGTGAGCAAGCAAGCAAAGGAGAGAGTACAAGCTGCGTCCATGAAACACTAATCTCTGCTTACTGCTATTCCACGCTAGATGGCGCTGCTGGCTATGGCTCTGCTCTGGGCGGCTATGGCTCTACTCTGGGCGGCTATGGCTCCACTCTGGGCGGCTATGGCTCCGCTCTGGGCGCCTATGGATCCACACTGGGCGGCTATGGCTCTGGCCTGGGCGTCGGCGGCTACAACTCGAATCCCTATGCGCTGTCCTACTACAACTCACGGCTCGGCGCTGGCGTCGCCACTGGCTATCCGTATTACAACACGCGCTTCGGCGCCGGCGGCTACCCGTCGAGCTACTACAGCAGCAACTATGGCAACAGCGTCGTGGGCGGCGGTCTGGGAGCGCTGGGCGGCGTGCCGCCCATTGGCGGCGCTGGCTACAACTACGGTGCCGGCATTTCGGGCACCGTCTACTAGGATGCGAGCGCCAACGATTTCAGCTTTAGTGCAATTCACTTTTTTTTTTCTCCCTCAAACTATATATATAGATATATATATATATGTGTGTATACAATATTATATTTTTTTTATCTAACTTAATATTTTACATATGTTAAATGAAATAAGCAAGCCACAAATTTACATATTTATTATTCAGTTCAGCTTCAGTTGTAGGCGCCGTGTTTATCCTTGATCACCCAGAAGGAGTCGACTATCTGGCCGTCCTTGTCGTCGGAGACCTGCTCGAAATGCAAATGGGTTGCATTGTAGGCCTTAAGGCGCGTGTAGCCATAGTCCTGCAAGTGAAAACCAAGAAAACTCAATTAAAAACGAAAATTCACCGACACAAATGTCTGGCAACATTTGCAGTTGATTTAGCAACATTTGCAGCTGCTTTAGCAACATTTGCTGCAGGCACAGAAATGTTGCCGTGACGAGCTTTGCTTGACATGAACTCTACTTCAATAAGTGAACAGAAGAAACTTGTAGGTATATGCTACAACTATTTCCAATCTCCAATCTTCTAACGTAAGTAAAGAATTTCTAAATTGGAGTTGCTTTGGAGCATGTTCCGTTAAGTTTGGTGGTTTAAACAGCGTCGATAGCTGTGCGCTTGTGTTGAAGTAGTCGTGACACACTTATCGATAAATTGCCAAGCGATAGTTAGGTTGCTTGTAAAAATGCAAGCCGTTACTCACATTGCTATGGAAGGCATTCCAAGAGGGCAGATCATTCGAGAAGGGTTCGCGATTTTCTTTGCAGCCCGCCGAGCCAGTTATAATCTGTATGGGTGCCTTGGGATTTGTGTAGGGCGCCTCGGCGCTGCCATTGTAGACCTTAAAATCGTAAATGGGCCACAAGCGTGTATAGAAATGCTCGTGGGCAAAGAACTCAACGTCGACGCCGTGCTTATAGAAGAGATCCTCCAGTCCGAACCACTCGAGCGTTGGCAAACCCTTGCGTATGTACGTCTCCAGCTTGGCATTGCAATCGTATTCCTTGTCGTCACTGCAGTACATCGGACGGTGGCCATAGGTGATGATCCAGGGTCGTTTGGCGCGATTCTCGGGAAGATTGGCCTCGGCCAAGTCCCGCTCCAGCCACTCGAACTGCTTGGTGAGCAGCTTCAAGCCATAGTTGATAAAGTAGTACACCTCCGTGGAGAACGAGACAAAGTGCACGGGACCCATGTTGAAGCTGTACCACAAACTGTCCCCATCTCCGGGCATGTTGAAGCGTGCGCGATAGTTCGAAAAGTTACTGCAGCGCAGCAAGCAAATTGATTAATAAGAGGAAACTATGAAATAGACGCCTTTACTATGCTTACTACTTCTCTTCGTGGTTGCCCGGACAGACCATGTACGGCACATAGGCGGCCAGTGTTTCGATCTGACGCATAAACTCGTCGCCGACACGCGCATCATTAGAGTCCATGTCGTAGGCAAAGTCACCCACATGAATGATGGCATCGTACATGCCCAGCTGCGAGTCCTGCTGCAGTCGCGCCAGTGACTGGGCATTCTCATTGCCCATATCCCCGTAGATGGCCAACGATGGCGACCAATTCTCACCTGCTGGCGGTGTCTTAAAGCTGTAGACGGCCGACCAGCCCAAGTCGCTGCCGCAGCTGTACTCGTAGCGTGTGTTGGGCTTGAGAGAGGACAACGTCACCTTGTGTATGTACTGGGAGCGCCCCTGCTTGCCTCCATCCTGGAAGAATTGCCAGCTGCCGCTGACCGAGCTAAGCGCATCGTGCACATAGTCCTGGGCAAAGTTAACCAGGGACTGGTTGGTGGAGCTGCGCGTCGACCAGGTCACGACAATGTCCTGCAGGCTGTCTGCAAAGGAAAGCAAGCATCGACACATGAAGTATATATGGTGAATATGGGCAGACATCTGTTAGAGCTATAGTCAAACAAGTTTTGCTAATGTGCATCTCATTTATTTGAAAAATGGTATAAAATATAAATGTGGTTTTATATGTATAGGAATGGATATGAGGTATAGTTCTTATGAATATCACATATTCAGGGGGTATATGGCCCATGCCTATCCTTGATCACCCAGAAGCTGTCAATGACGACGCCGCCTTTGTCATCGGACACCTGCTCAAAGTACAGATGGCTGGCATTGTGCGCCTTGAGGCGCAGATAGCCAAAGTCCTGGCTGTGAAAGGCGCTCCATGGTGGCATTTGCTTGAAGAATGGCTCACGACCTTCATGATTGCCGGCAGCGCCAGAGATGATGTGCACCGGAGCACCCGGGTTCACATACGGCTCCGCCAACGAGCCATTGTACACGGTATAGTTGTACAGGGGCCACATCCGCTCATAGCAGTGCTCGTGCGCCCAGAGCTCCACGTCTACGCCGTACTTGTAGAAGAGCGGTTCGAGACCGAAGAAATTCAATACGGGCAGGCCCTTGCGCACGACTGTCTCGTGATTGGCGCAGTCGTCGCCGTTGTCATTGCTACAGTACATCGGACGATGGCCATAGGTTATGATCCACGGACGTTGGGCGCGGTTCTCCGGCTTGGTGGCCTCGATCAGGTCACGTTCGAGCCAATCGTATTGCATGACAATCGGCTTGATGCCGTACTGTGTGAAATAGTAGACCTCGGTGCTGAAGCCAATAAAGTGCACCGGTCCCAAGTTGAAGCTGTAGAACAGATTGTCCGTGCCGCCCGGCATGCTGAATCGATTGACATAGTGCGAGAAATTGCTGAGTGGCGAAAGAGAATCAGAGAATCACTCATTAGATTGCAGCTCAGAGATTTGTGTACGCTCAGAGCACACTTACTACTTCTCCTCGTGATTACCCGCACAGACCATGTACGGCACATAGGCGGCAATTGTCTCCACCTGGCGCATAAACTCATCCCCAACCTCCCCGTTCTCGTTGCACATGTCGTAGGCAAAGTCACCCACGTGCAGTATGGCATCGTACATGCCTAGCTGCGTCTCGCGCTGCAGAGCCGGCAGCGAGGCGGCGTTCACCACGCCCATGTCGCCGTAGATGGCCAGCGAGGGCGACCAGTTGCTGTGATTGAGTGCCGTGTGGAACCAATAGATGGCCGACCAGCCCAATTGGCTGCCGCAGTGATAGCGATACGTTGTGTTCGCTTGGAGCTTGGGCAGCGTCACCTGTCAATGGGTATGCTGTATTGGCAGCTCATTCAAATCTTGCCTACTTACGCGATGAATGTACTGTGTGGCCTTCTGGGCGCCGCCATCAACAAACGCTGTGGGTCCTTGAGCAGCCTTGGCGCTTTGCTCAGTGACGCTATCGATGCCGTATTCGCATATAGATTCATTTGTATTGTCACGCGTGCTCCAGGTAACGACAATGTCCAGCACACTTTCTGGGAGAAGCACAGGGCACACATGTTGCCAATTATTCACAGTCGATAATCGTATGCACGAATGTGTATATTTACATGTATTTACAAATTCAGCTAGAGCTGCGCGCTCAACGTTTTATCGGCTATCGATGAACGTGGCACGCGCAACTAGCTTAATATTGGGCTATCGATCACAGATTTCCGCAATATATATCGTTATTTCTAAATGAAATTCTAGCTTATTAGCAATTATATTTAACGGGCATATTTAATTTGTATAGTAAATATATACATTAAATCTAACTTAATATGATAAGCTATTATTCGAAAAAAATGGGTAACCATCATTTGGGCATTTGTTATTTGACATTTTGACATTCAATGACATTTGATATTTTTATTCTCAACCTTAATCCTACCCATTGATATGGGAAAATAAAGAAAACAGTTCAAAGCTACAAGCGATAAAAATAATACGGATATTATTACATATATATGATATACGTACATACATACATATATCAACACACGCGTTTGTACATATTAAAAGTGTAAAACAGCATACAAATAAAATTGGCTAATTTTAAGGAGTGTTTAGAGTTATCAAATACAGTCCGTTCATGGGCTTATACTGGGCTACAATTGCAGTTGCAGTTGTGAATGGGATCAAAAGGGAGTTTCCCCTTATCAAATAAGCGATAAATTGATCTATTTGTATATAACGAGAAAAATATATAAATATGTATATATACATATATATTAAAGAATGTGCATTCGTAATACTGTCAATTGCTACAGTTGTGATTGTGTGTGTGTGCATTTTAAATTGTATGTAATTAGCCTTGTGAACCTTTTACAGTTCGCTGTATGCCCCATGCTGGGCTTTGATTAGCCAGAAGTTGTCGATGATGGCGCCTCCTTGATCATCGGAGACCTGCTCAAAATAGAGATGGGTGGCATTGTGCGCCTTGAGACGCGTGTAGCCATAATCCTGACTGTGGAATGCGCTCCACTCGGGTATCTTGCCCTTGAAAGGCTCACGCCCTTCCTTGCAGCCTGCCGATCCGGTAATAATGTGCACCGGTGCACGGGGATTCTCATAGGGCGAGCCGAGCGATCCATTGCGTACCTTGTAGTCGTAAATGGGCCAGAGACGTTCGTATGAGTGCTCGTGCGCCCATATGGCCACATCCACGCCGTACTCGTACAGCAGCGGCTCCAATCCGAACATATGCACAAATGGCCAGCCGACCCGCGTCAAGGTCTCCGAGTGGGTGCAATCGTTGTCATTCTCATTGCTGCAGTACATCGGTCGATGGCCATAGATGATAATCCAAGGTCGCTTGGCGCGATTCTCTGGCTGGTTGGCCGTCTCCAGATCACGTTTGAGCCACTCGTATTGAAAGACGAGCGTCTTCAAGCCGTAGTTCAGGAAGTAGTATACCTCCGTGGATATGCCAATGAAGTGCACCGGGCCCAAGTCGAAGCTATAGAAGAGATTCTCTGTGCCGCCCGGCATGCTGAATCGTGCCCGATAATTGGAGAAATTGCTGCAAGGCGAATCCAATAAACAATCTCCTTATCTGAACTCATCTGATCTGTTCTGTTGCTGCTCAACTTACAACTTCTCCTCATGATTTCCCGGAACGACCATGTAGGGCAGGTAGGCGGCCACCGTTTCGATCTGGCGCATAAACTCATCCCCCACTCGAGCATCTTTTGTGTTCATGTCGTAGGCGAAGTCACCCACATGAATGATCGCATCGTACATGCCCAGCTGCGTCTCTCGTTGCAGCCGGGCCAGCGACTGGGCGTTCTCATTGCCCATATCCCCGTAGATGGCCAGTGACGGGGACCAATTGGAGTCAGCACTGGGAATGGTACGGAATTGATATTTGGCCGACCAGCCGTACTCGCTGCCGCAGTGATATACATAGCTGCTGTTGGGCTTAAGTTGGCTGAGCGTAACCTATGTTAAATTTACAATCTTGAGTCACATCTCTGTGTGTCTGAGGATATATGTGTGTGTGTGTGTGTGTGCGTACCCTGTGTATGTACTGAGACATCTGCTTGGTGCCGCCATCCACAAATCGAATGGCCTTGCCATAAGCGCGCTGCGTTAGATCTGTCAATCCATATTCGACAATGCTTTCCGCAGACGGCGGCAGTTCGCGCGTTGACCAAGTGACAACAATTTCGCTGGCGGTGCGCTCTAGTCAAAGCAGGAGCAGCAGGAGCAGTATCAGCAGCAGTTAACAGGCGGGGAAATGAGTAAACAAAAACGGAAAGAGAAGACAAGACAAAAATGAAAAACAAGCTTGACTTGCGGGCCGAAATATATTTGTTTAAATTTGTGTTTGTATAAAAGCAGTTGGTGCAAATAATTTATATTTAAATTTGCTTTACGACATGTTTTTCGATTTGTTGTTTTGTCCCTCGCATCGCTTATCGCGAGACCAAAAAACAAAATTTTTGAATTGAACTCTTGTTAGAGTGTGACCCAATTAGCGTATGATTATGATCCCTATGAAACGAGCACTGTGCAGTAAACATAAAATACTTAGAGATAAGTTCGGAGGATGTAAAAGACGAGAATATAAGGAAAAGTTGACGGAACTAAATAATTTATTTCTTATCTACGGCTTGAATTCGTTTCGGAGCATACTTTTCAATTATCTGCTTCGCTTTTTATTTTGGCAAATTTCTATTGCAGTTGTTTTTGCACTCTTTGTTTGTGTCATTGTTGTTGTTCGTGTTAGGGGCGTTTGTATATTTCAACGGGAACAACTGCAACTGTAACTGCAACTGCATATTGCATGAGTGTATGTACGTACATACATACATATATCCGGGTTGGGTTGGGGGAGTTATTGTCATGTTATCAAGTCTAAGCTATTGCGCAGCAATTTCGACAAAAACAAACGTATTAAAACAATTTAAACGCTGATATCAACGAAATATGCCGGTAAGTTTTAGCAAACATCGCAGTTTGTTTTGTTTTTGGGCAAGGGGTTAAAAAACTCGCGCTGAACTTTAAACTTGATGGTTGCATTTGCCATGACAGCTGTAAACTGTTAAGTACAGCTATACGTATATTTCGCCTTTGCTTAACACTATTCTATTAATATGCAATATATAGTATATATATATGTAATACTAATAGAATACATTTATTAGGTACATACCTCCAAATGCTAGATGCACCTGCTCCGGCTGATAATGTACTATGCTTAAATCTTCCTCCAAATTCTGCTTCCCGTTAATGTCTTCCACCGCCAATTGCCGCTGCACAGTGCTGGCAACGCAAAGTGTTAAAGTTAGAAACAACAAGGTCAAATTAGCCATTGTTGCAGCTCTTTTGCTTTGCTCTTAGACGTTTTTGTAGATATGTGTATTTATTGAGCCACAGTTAATGACATTGCCAATATATTTATAAGCTTCGAATAATTTACGTGTACTTCACAAAATTTATTTTGCTGGCGACAGCAAAATGCAACGCACGAAGACTGTTGAAACGTCCAGCAATTTATGGAATAACAAAGTTCGATTAGCAGCGCAGCTGTTAATAGTTATCGATATATACAGGGAGCGCGATAAATAACCTATTCGATAGTTAACAGAGTGACCAGCAAAGCTGGGCGCATTTATTTTAAAAATCAATTTTGTCGAAAGCAAATGGAAAAACATAGTCGGCGTTGTTTAGTCAGCTTTCTAATGGTTAAAGAATTTTAGTTTGTTTCATTATTTCAAAACAACCTTTTGGCAAAACAACTTCGGAAATAAATTAAATAAAAAAAAAAATAAATACAAAGAACCATGGGTATGTCTGGTTTGTCGGAAGACTTTATAACGTTAACACAGTTAAATTGTGTTCAACAGTGCAGTGCATTAATTTACAACCCAAAGCCGCGTAACTATTTAACGGCCGCAGCACTTTTTAGCGTATATTGCGGCGTAGTTATCTATCGTTCGTATCGCAATCATCAGGCCAAAATGCAGGCTCGCCGTGAGGCTGCGCTGATTACGGCACGTGAAGAATTGCCAGTCTTTGAGGAGTACACCGTTGAAGCACCCACTTTGGAGCAGCAGCAATATCCAGCTGAACCAACCGTTCCCGAGCCAGCACACATTGACGACCCGGCCAGCGACGAGACAAGTTTACCAGCAACACCCTAGGCCAACTCGAAGTTCCACTCCCCCAAATGTTTCAGGATATCGCAATTAATTGAGAAACGATCGAACTTCAGTTATAAGAGAATACATTTCCGATATATCCAAATGAGCTCAGTCAGTGAATAAAAATTCATGGAACATGCATACATATACATATATTATTTATTTATTTCCTTTTTTTTTTGTTCATGCTCGCTAATTAACAATTCTTAAGCAACAATTCTATAAGTTAATTCTACAAAATGTTTAAGGCGATTTGGCGAGGACTTACGAACTAGACAACTAACATTTCGTATAATTAAATAGTATACATACATATGTATATATATAGTATATATAGGTATGTGGATATATATGTTTATATGCATATAGGGAATGTAAATAGTTTTTTCTTGATTACAGACATAAATTGTTGGCCACAATGATTAAATTAACTACAAACTAGAAAACACATTTGAGAGACGATTATCTACTTTTCGCCAGCATTTCCGCTTCCGGTTCCGCTGCCTGGCCCACTTGCGCTTCCGGCGCCTGGCTTGCGCGTGGCGAATCCTTCGGGCATGCTGCTCTTGCGCTGCGCCTGCGATATTTGCACAATGCGCGACAATGGGGAATGCGTGCTGCTCGTGCTGGGGCGCATTAGCGACGAGGGCAACAGGCGCGACGTTGAGGTGCCCGGCTCATCCTGGCCAGCATTGCCGGCAGCCCCTGTGGGCGATGTGGGCGAGAGTTCGCGTGCCAGAGGCGATGGTCGCAGCGAGAGGCGCCGCTGCAGCGCAGTCTGGGAACTGGTCAACGGGCTGGGCTCCTCGCTGAGGCTGGCACCTGGTGGCGGCGCCTGACCAGGTGGGATCTGCAGAGCTGTCGGACGCACACTGAAGCGCCGCCTGAACTTGGACTGGCCAGTAGGCGTGGAGGTCGATGGTGGCAGCGGTTTCTCGGTGTAGCTGGGTGGCGGCTCCAAGTTGTGTATGCCGGATGGACGACGGGTGGCCAGGCCGCTGCTGCCGCCGGGAGACATGGTGCCCACAATGGTGGAGCGTCGGGCGTACAAACGATTGGCCGCCGTTGCCTGCAGCGTGCGCGTCTGGTCACCCGCAAACAAGGACAGGATGGGCGGCAGCTGGGGCGGATCGAGGCCGGCATTGCCCAGCTTACGTTGCTTCTTGGTCAACTTGGAGCTGGAGCTGGAGCCGCCAGCCGCCGCCGCCTGCTGTTGCTCCTTCTGATGCTCATCGAGCACGGCATGCGTGTGCACCACCTCGAGCGCGCGTATCAGATCCGCTATGGTGGTCTGCTCCAGCACATCCATGTCCTTGTCCGAGGTCACCGAGAAGATGCTGGAGCGCCGCGGCGTTGCGTTGCTCGTCATTCCGCCCGTGGCCGGGAACAGGCTGCCACGCCGGGCCGCAACAGCTGCCATAGCCGCCGAGCCGGAGCCGCGGCGCTGCATCTGGAGTGCAGTTGCTGTTGCTGTGGGCGTGTACATGCTGCCGCGTCGAGCGGAGAGAGCTGGATTTTGGGTGTAGATGGACTCGCGGCGTCGCCTGCCGGCCGCCACGCCAGCAGCAGACTTGCGTTGATAGGGGCCCGTCGAGCCGAAGGTCGCCTGGTCGGAGTCATCCAGATGGAAGGCCGGATTGCTGATGCCTGCATTGCCATTGCTGGAGGCGAGGCTGGTGGTCGATTCAAAGGGTGGTGGCGGACCGCGGCCATTGCGCAAATAGGATTGGCTGGCGCTTGCCGTAACCGTATTGTTGTAGAAGTCCAGCGGGGAGCGCGTGGGCAGCGACGTGATGCCCTCTGGTACAGAGACCACGGACAGCTTGCGCTCCAGATCCTGCGAGGGTCGCTTGCGATGGAAGAGCTTGCGCAGGCCGTCCGGCATGGAGAACTTCTTGACCCGACCAGCGCCAGCCACTGCTCCATTCTTCTTGAGCTGCTCATCGCTGTTGTCCGGCTCCTCGAGATGCACCACATGCGGATCGCTGGCGGCACCATTGAGCTGGCTCTTGTAGCGGCTGTTGAAGGCCTCTTGGATCTGCTGGTTGTCGCCGCTCCAGGTCCATTCGTTGTGATTGTGCGGCGCTCGGAGGGGTCGACGTGGTGGCTCAATATTGAAGTCGGAGCAGGCACGACCACGCGGACGACGTGGCGCCGATAATTCGTTGAGTGTCGAGAAGGACCACTCGCTGGCCAAGATCTGCGAGTCAGAGAATCCATGGTAGCCACCATACATGGCCGCATCATCAGCCTCCGGTGGCGGCGGCTGCACCGTGGCCAACGCCGTCACCACCTTGGCCAGCAGGTCTGTTGTCTGGCGATAAGCCTCGGCCGTCTCGAAGGTCTTCTCCCGATCGAATTTGCTTATCTCCGTATCCGAATTGGCATGCACCATAACAGTGGGATCCTGGGAGGCCAGTTCGGCGCACACGGAAAAGGCGCGCTTCCGACTCGGTATCGGTGCTGGCTCCACACGGTACATGCTGAGCTCCGGGCAGGAGGCGGACCGAGGCACTGTATATGCAAATTCTGTATCGGTGTAAACGGGCTGTTTATATTTGACGATAAATATCGTGTGTGGTTATCGATTATCAATGGCAGAGTGCGTGTAGGTGTGCGTGTTCATTGTTGTTGTTGTACATGTAAAGAAGAGAGCGCAGCATATGGTATTTGTATTAGTGTAAATTTCATATGTTGTTTCTGTTGTTTGCTGTTGTTATTGCTATCTCTGTCACACTCTTGCTAGCCCTGCCAGTGGCGTCTGTGAGTCCCGTTAAGCTTATTTATGTGTGTATGTACATATGTTACTTACGCCTGCGCGCCTTCGGCGGCTGCCTAATCTTAATCTTCGCGTTCTTTCTATTTCGCATTCGAAAAAACTAAGAAAAAAGGAGAAAATATCACAATTGTTAACGGACTTGTCGGGGGGTGATTGCGGTTAATGTTCGCCCGCTTAGTCAAACATTTAGTGAATGCGCAGCCCAATTGTTGTTGTTGTTGTTGTTATTGTTATTGTTGTTGATAGTTGACGCATTGTAAAGACGAAAACATAACGGAAATATGTACATATGTGCGTACCATTGATTAAACACACACACACACACGCTCACGCGCATACTTTATATGCTGTGCTCTTTGTAGTGTGTATGTATTAGTAAATTGTATTAGTATTTGCTTTTTGCTTTGCTTTTTTGCTTTTGTTTTCGAAAGCTTTGCGCACGCAGCTTTCACACTGACGTCGACGCAGACGCAGACGCCGCCGCAGCAGCAGCAAATGCCAAAATGGCGTCCAATAGTTAGGATAAATAGTTTAAGGATTGTTTCGAAAATTAAAACTCCCGCTTAATAGACATACATAAATAAACTTCAGTTAAATATTGTAAAATTGATTATTTTAAACCCCATATGTTTATACTATATATTTACTATGTTCTATAGGCTTTACCTTGACTTTCAGTATATATAGCTCGTTGAGCAGACGTCGTAAATAGCCCACATCCTTGGTAACACCCGTCCATATACGATTCTGTGTCGCCTTCAGATTCGATGAGAGCTGCTGCTCCAAGTAGGCCAGCTTCTTGCTCTGCAGCCCTCTAAACATATGCATTCGATTATGTTAGGAAAATAGAATAGTAGTGTATATATATAGATACAATATAAATTAGTTTTGATGGTAGGTTAGGGCGATGTTTTGGACAGTCCCAGCATGCAAAACATATCATGCAGCACTCCAATTAGACAATGCATTCTCTTACTTACCGCGTTATAAACGTCATTATCATGACCAGGTATCCCAAGGAGAATATAAACCAGACGATCACAAAGATTTGATACACCACGAACCAGCCGCCGAATTCGCGTGGCTAAAGGATCGAAAAACCGTTAACTATAGCCAAACCGAGCGTGGATCGCAACTCACCTGGTTGGCTCCAAATGTGGGCACGTAATCGCCAAAGCCAATTGTCGACGTCGTCACATAACTGTAGTACAGTGAAATCGAATAGGGCCAGCTCTCGAAGTACGTAAACACCCATGCGGGTAGTAATAGGAACAGGGCTATACCTGGTACTAGGGCTATGAACACCGTGGTTATCAATCCCAGCTGCGGTGGCACATAATGATCATCCGAGGACATTTTGTACTTCTTATATCGTCTATAGATGGCCTCAAACTGAAGAGCGAGAGAAATTTAGATATGTAAGAGATATGTATCCAAGTATCTATGTATCTATATATCTTTATATCTATGTATGTATGGACCTCTGATTCTGTTCATCTCTATCCACCTACCGTGCGTCCGAAGTACTCGCCCAATCCGGCAAAGAGTATTCCATTCACCGGTATCCCGATCACCGAATAGACGATCATGATCATGCGACCCGCGAATGTTGTCGGCGATATATTGCCATAGCCCACCGTTGAGCAGACGGTAAACGAAAAGAAGAAGGCGTGATAGAATGTCCACGTATAGGGTATTTCGTAGTCGTCTTTTGTGTAATCCGTAACCGGCTTGCCACAATAATCCGTAATGCGCTCCAAGACCTCGTTTTGTGTGGTCGCATTTTTATCCTCTAACTGCTCCATGAGAAACTCTGTAACGTGGAGAAAAAGAAAGGCAACGAAATAAGTCAAGTCTAAGTTCTAGTGATGTAAGTTATAGCCAGATGACTGATTAGAAAATACCCAAAAATTGTAGCAACACTCGATGCCCATTTCCGTAAGTCCAATGGCATCTAGATAAGTAAAAAGTTCTATTGGAACAGCACTGCAAAACGCAATGAAGCATAAAGTCGAATCAAATCAAATTTAATTAATTCTATTTCACGTGTTCCGGAAGCAAATGGAAAGCGGGCGTTCGACTGATCGTGTTACAAACGCCATTTAACCTTCCGCCTTTCCATAGAGATGAAAGAGGAAGCAAAACAATTGCGACTACAACTATCCGGCTTAGGGTTGAAATCGCAACTGTCAACGTGACAACAGATTGACCTGACCCTGACTCAAGTCGCTGATCGCTGATCACTGATCGCTGATCGCCGATTGTCAATTGTCGCCGCGATTCCGGGTAAGTTTACGGCCGTTGAAAACTGTTTAGAATGCGCTCCACACGGTGGCATGCTTCATGGATCGTAACGATCATTAGGGGCGTACGCAGCTTTGATATTATGCAAAGATATGAATTCTTATAGGTTGTTTAGGACTAACTTGAAATATTGCAGAGTCGGCCTATATATTTATATAGATCTATATACTTAAAGATGCATAAAATGATCTCCAGTTGATCTGCCTTTCGACTAGCTCATAGTTGATCTTCAGCATCAACTAAAACTAGTTTTGCTGAGAGATCCCTTACTAACATATATCGATATATCGATCTCTCGTTTCGAGTTGTATCCATCGCTTACTTAGTCACTCACATATATAGCTCCATCGTTTGTATATGCTATATCTGGTCTTGGGTGCAATTCGTCTGAAATTAACTGAGTGCAATCATTCAATAAACCCTAAGCCACACAGGCAAATGCAGCGAATGACAACAATTTTCTAGCCGTAATCTTTTAACGAATTGCATAATTCAATAAATGCGACAGACAGATATTTAACAAAAGCCTTCCCAGTGGGAGGCTCGCTGTTGTTGGTTCGCAATTGTGGGCAATTCACTTTTCAACGATCCCAGTGCAGTTCCATCCATCCATCTAGATAGTAATAGTAATCTCTATCTCCATCCCTTTTTCTCCCCTCTCCCTCCCTCTCTCTCTCTCGGTCTATTTCTATTTTTCCAGCATGAGTTCTGATATCGTAGTATTGCCTTTTGTTGTCATCCGGGTCTTTTTTTTTTTCTTTTTTTCTTCTTTTTTTTTTGATTGTGATTGCGGGCAATTTGTTCATAGACGTCGATCATTAGCACAAATTCTTGTAAATCTTTGAAGCCCAACTAACGGCACAAACTAGCGAACATTAATTGAGATTAAGTTCTTGGATGGCGTTTATCTTGTTGATGTTTTTCGTGTTTTGTCTCTTGATGATTTGGGGAGCGACGAAAACGTTCAAATTGATCAATTTAACTGTTGAGCGTGAGGTCAATGAGACAGAGCGAGTGAGAGAGAGAGAGAGCGAGAGAGAGAGAGACGGGTGGAGATCTAGGAAAGAAATTTGAAAATCTGTAAAAGCTTAAAATAATTCTAATGAAAGATCACTTGAAGGACTCTAAATTAAGTCGAGCAAGATCAATTCATAATAGACAAGAAAATACAAATGAAAACGTATGAGGATAGATAGTTGATCTTCAAGTTGAGAGTTCTTCAAACACTTCAAGCTCAATCCCATACTTGTATAGCTCGAAAGATACTAGACTGATATGCAAAAAGTAGGGACAGTACTTAGATCAAGCTCTTATGGACGTTTCAATCGCGAAAGATCAAAGCCAGCTAAGATCGCTGATCTTTCAGTACATATTGAGGGGGAAGATTCATTGAATGACAACTAGATCACCAGGGTCAAACGTGTTTCATTCCCTTATCAGTGACGGGGCTATCTGAGGTGATTAACTGTAAATGCCAACATCACATGTTTGTGCACACACTTCCAAATGATATGTGATCCAGGGTCTTATGGCAAGCGCCACATAGGGTTCTACGAAAGCGCAATTGAAGTACTTTTGGAAGCCCAATAGCTTAATATTGAAATCGATATCGAGTGCGAACATAGTCTAGGACTATGTGTATATGTGATAAGGAAAGGCCATTTTAAGTCGCAGGTCAAAAGGGGGATCAGTGCATAAAGCTATAGATTCCGAGCTCATTGATCGTGAAAACTGTTAACGGATTTAGCTCAGACGACTGAATTGTATATGTATAGACTGGAATGACTCTTGCATTGCGCAATAGAGATCGTGTGGCCGTTTAGCTCGACTGGCAGATACCCTGCGATCTGCCAAGTACGGCAAAGGCGGGGCAGAAAGACAGACAGGGCGGATCACAGATGAAGGGAATGTTAGATATGATAGATAGACCAAGAACAAGAGGAATATGAAGAGGGGCAAGTATGAGCAGAGAGAAGGGCAGATGATAGATCAAATTCAACTAGATCAGCTCGGATATGTATAATCATAGATACATATACATATGCATACATAAATATAATGATATACATACATACATATGTATATATGCCATCATATAAGAACCCGATCTGATGTTATAATACGAGTGTAATATAAACTTGAGCAATTTCTATTTGGAGGTAATACACTCCGAATTAACTTCATACGTATAAATATGTATATGTATGTATATAGAGTAATATATGTATATCGTCGCACGTCGTGGCTGGACGATGTCTAATTGGCGTTTATAGTTTATTTATCTGAACAATTAGCACATTTTTATGTGCTATTTAAATTCGATTTTATTGCAATTATAGTGGAATAACCCTCAAAATAAATACGATCGCGATCAGTGTGTCTGATATCCGCACACACACACGCACACACACACAGCTGCAGACAGAGACAGATATGTAAATCACATTCGTATCAGTGCAATTAATCACGAATCCGATTCGCACACTTGCTAACTTATAAAGCTCATATTCCCCTCAAAATTTACGCACGTTTGGCAAAACGAAAATCCAGTCGAGTTAGGTCATTTCTTGTGCTTTTCACTTTTCAGCCCAGTCACACCGAACTGGCTGTGCTCTATAAATACTACCCCTACACATACATACATACATCTTTAACGTTTATGCCATGCAGTTCATGACCAAGTAATTAGCACATTAAGTTGGCTGCGCTTCAGCTGCGTGCGGCTGAGAATCAGACGACTTTTACGACGTGGACTGATAAATCCGTTTATATTTTGCTAATTTCGTGAACTGATTTCGTTAGCTAAATATAGATTGAACCAAAGTTATGCCGTGCCACATTAAACCATGAAGTTAGCTATTTTGCTTGGCCATAACTGATCAATATCGACTGATATATGTATATGAATTTAGCCAAGTTTATGCCATGCAACTCGTGAAATCGGATTGGCTTCAGTAAAGCAATGCTTATCTGCAAGACTAACTGAGATTACTTTGAATTGCGTTTGATTAGGTCATAAAAATGTTTATAGGCTGAAACATGTTCAGGCATGAATGCTCTATGGAATAACAGAGGCGAGTTTCCTCCAGTGTGCAATGTGAGGTTCTTGCCACATAATATGCTTTCATTATATATACTTTAATCGTGATCTTCATTATAGTTTTGGCTGTGGCTAAATTGAGTCGGGTTAATCTGATATCAGGCGATACTTCATTCAACCTATCAGCTCGAAATGATTGATCAAACTGTCCAAATATCGATTTGACCTACATTCGTGCCTGTAGGAGGGCCAAAGTGTTTGCCAAAGTCAAGTTATCCACACTCGTTAGATGCGACGACCCTATCTTTGATGGAGTATTTTTTTTCGGGGCATTTGTGGGGAACTACGCAAGTAGCTGCTAAAATTGTTTGTTTTCTTTTTTGGCCAAGAATTCGTGGCAGACAGTTGAAGTTGTTAGATATCACATGGACACGAAAAATGCGATCATAAAATGCTGGAGACTGGAGACTGATGATAGCGACAGCTACTGTCTATCTATCTATCTATCTATCTATCTATCTATCTATCTATATATCTATCTATCTAT